TGAGAATAAACGCAAGTCAATTTCTTTACTTAATATTCTCTTTTTTACCGTAGATCGGTTCAAATAACCCAAGTTCAAGCCAAACTGAGGCCACTTCCGGCCGGAAGATCAATGCAATTGAGAGCGGGGATCCGATCAAGCGGCAGCTACTTGATGAGTTATCGACCACAACTCCCATGAAGAAGGTCAAGAGGGAGGCTTTGGAAAAGTGATTGTATAAGAGCGATGGAAACAAATGAAGCAACGTAATGCATGAAGGGCCCTATGTTTTTTATTTGTTGGTGTATGACATGATGTTTTTGGTTTTTTTTTTTTGTTTATTATTCATGTTAAACATTGCCCGAGGTGATGTATGCAGGTAATGTATACACTCAAGAGAGCATACGGGAGAGTAAATTTCTTGCCTGGATGAAAGCAAATGAAAAATATCCCTTGGCAAAGAATTTAACATATGCTGAGTTCCCTCAGAAATTTGTTTGGAAGCCATCTAAAAGAGAGTACGAACTTCGCCTTAGAGGTTTTGCAATAGGCCGTGTTATCTATGTTCCTTTTGAGAATCTTATTATATGAGAATACTATTGAACATAGTCCGAGGACCTACATCATACGAAGATTTGAAAACTGTCAATGGTGTTGTTCACGGCACTTATCGTGATGCATGTTATGCTTTGGGATTGCTAGATGATGATAGGGAGTACATTGATGGATTCAACGAAGCCAATGAGTGGTGTTCTGCCAATCAATTGAGATTCTTATTCGTAACACTTCTCACAAATGAATCGATGTCGAGACCAAAACATGTTTGGGAGCAATGCTGGGAAATCATGACAGATGACATCCTATATTGCTAGCGTTGTCTACTAAGTCATGAAGGTATTATTTAACTATGACTACAATTTATATAAATATATAATATTTTTCCAAACATATAGTTTTCCTATTAAATCTGTAGGTTTGATGTTAAGCGAGGATCAAATCAAAAATTACACCTTGATTGAGATTGAGATGTTGCTTAGAATGCGTGACCGAAGTCTCCGAGACTTCATTGATATGCCTTTTCCTATTATAGACAATTCCTCAATGACCCAAAACAGACTCATTCTAGACGAACTACAGTATGACCACGTTGAACTGAGCGCTGAACACCAAAATTGTTTGGCCAAGTTGAACAAGGAACAACTTATAGCTTATCAGAGTGTAATGACTTTTGTCGAGATGGATGAGGGAAAGGTTTTTTTTGTATACGGTTATGGAGGAACGGGAAAGACCTTCGTATGGAAAACTCTGTCTGCTGCCCTTCGTTCCAAAGGAGAAATTGTGTTAAACGTTGCATCTAGTGGTATTGCTTCATTATTGTTACCTGGTGGAAGAACTGCCCACTCGTGATTTGGAATTCCAATCAATCCGCATGAAAATTCCACATGTAACATAAAACAGGGAACTCCTTTGGCTGATTTATTAGTTAGGACAAAACTAATAATTTGGGACGAAGCCCCGATGACCCACAAATATTGTTTCGAAGCTGTCGATAGAAGTCTACGCGATGTGATGTCTGTTGTTAATCCATCAAATGCTGAGCGGCCATTTGGAGGGAAAACCATTGTCTTTGGTGGTGATTTTCGGCAAATTCTGCCTATCATTCCCAAAGGAAGAAGACAAGATATTGTCAATGCTGCCATTAACTCTTCATATTTGTGGAACTATTGCACGGTCTTGCGTTTGACAGAAAACATGCGCTTGCAACACATGTCACGCGATAATAATTATGAAAGCATGTCAGAATTTACGGAGTGGATAACAAGCATTGGGGATGCTATAGCCGGAGAGGAGAACGATGGATCGAGTGAGATCATTATTCCTGAAGATATGTTGATAAAAACCACAGAAGATCCAATAGCAAGTATTGTTCATTCCACTTATCCTGACTTCCACAACATCGCAAATGATCCCACATATCTGCAAAATCGCGCAATCCTTGCTCCAACTCTAGACGTTGTGGATGAAATCAATGACTACATGACATCAATGAACAACGTGGGGGAAGCGAAGAGCTATTTTAGCTCTGATTCAGTGTGTAAGTCTGATTCAAATGCAGATTTTTTGTCAGACTTACACTCTCCTGAATTTCTGAACAACATACGAGCTTCTGGTGTCCCAAATCATGAACTAAAGTTGAAGGTTGGGACCCCCATCATGCTATTAAGGAATATTGACCAATCGTCGGGCCTATGCAATGGAACAAGGTTGATAGTAACTCGATTTGGCAATCATCTTATCCAAGGCACAGTCATAACGGGAAAAAATGTAGGTCAAGAAGTTTTTATCCCACGATTGTCGCTCACACCGTCTGATGCAAGGATTCCTTTTAGGTTTCAAAGGAAACAATTCTCAATCATGACTTCATATGCGATGACAATTAACAAAAGTCAAGGCCAATCTTTGTCGCATGTCGGATTGTTATTGAAGAAATCCGTATTCAGTCATGGTCAACTTTATGTGGTAGTTTCACGTGTCACAAGTCGTCAAGGGTTGAAGATCTTGATTTGCAATAAAGACCTTCCTACATGTAACTAAACTACGAATGTAGTTTATAAAGAAGTGTTCCAAAACTTATAACACTCTCAAACCTCCCCCACTTTTCATATCTACTTATTTATGTAATCCTTTAGATTTTAATAAGATTTTTTTTTTATTCAAAACATGGAGTACTTATGTGTCATTTAATAGCCCGTGCATCGCACGGGTACGAGTCTAGTTTTATCTCAAAACAGAGAATACCAAATACGATACTCCCTACTATATACTCCCTCCGTCCCCAATTATAATGCATGTTCACTATTCACAGGGTCAAACTTCATTCACTTTCTTTCTCTATTTTCGTTAGCAATTTGATAAAATAAAATATTGTTGTCACTACTAGTTTTGTAGATCTTTTGATGTAGTATTTTGTTATGTAATTTTTATTTTTTAACTCTATACCATTTTTCATATAAAATGATTTGAAAATAACTTCAGTCAAACATCGTAAACCGAAACAGGCGTTATAAAATGGGACGGAGGGAGTACTTCATACGATACAAAGTAGCGGAATAAACAAAAAACAAAAACAGAGCATAAAGAAACAAAAATAGTTAAGCGAACAAATAATAAAACAAACTAGTTATGTATCAATAACATTAATAACATTCTTCCTTCTCTCAATAATCTAATATGGTTATCAAAAAAGAGTGGTTGTTCAGGGTATCTGCCCGCTTTGTTGCGTGGCAGAGGAGTTTGAAGAGTGGTGGGCAACGTAGAGACCAGATACCTAGTGTGCCTCATTGCCCTTCGTAGATTGGTTGTGGGAATGACCACATGCACATTATCGATCTCAAGGTCAATGTGGATACTTCCGTGAGTTTTTTATAGAACGAGTTTTATATTTTAATTAAGTTTTGCAAACAAACAAATTAGCTATTATTGCTGATTGCAAGCGTCTACAAGCACTCTGCGGCGGAGACCTTAATTTTAGATTTAGTTTTTGTTTTGCTAATGAGGCGACACATGTGTTGGTGCGTGCTACTAATTCCAATGGGAGAGTTGGGAAGTGGTATGGTTATAAATGGATAACTGAAAATTTGATTACCGTCTGCATCTATATCTGTTTATACGAAAAAATCCTCATCCGTTAAAAGCGATTATTATCTATATCCGATTGGTAAACGAATACGGATTTGGTAATCATACATTCGATCTGTTTAGAACTTGCTCCGCATAGATATCCGTTTAAGTAACCATTATCTGTATATCTGATCCATTATATATAATTTTTCATAATTTTTTATTATTATATTTTGTCTTTCTATTGACATCACAAAGTATAAGATATTTTTATATGCAAAATATATGTGTACACATAAAAATATGTGTAGAAACATAAATATATGTGTGGACACATAAAAATATGTGTGGACACAAAAATTATTTTTGTATTTGTATTGTGTATGTCTTAATTGTCTTTTTACCATGTGGAGTTGTCGTAGAATATTATATATTATAAAAAATTAGAAAAAATTACGATGTAACAAATTACAATTAAATAAATAATATTTTTGAATTTAATTTAATTAGAAATTAAAGTATTTTTCAATTTAACTTAAAAAAATTAGAAATGGATATAGATATATCCGATATCCGGCGGATACAGATACAGTTTTGATTTTTAGTATCCGTCAGGATCTGTATTCAAATTCGATATCCCATAAAAATAAACAGATATGGATCGGGTAATGGCACATCCGATCCGATTAATATCGATTCATTTACACCCCTAGGAGTGGGTTGGTTTACCTTAAGACTTTAATACCATGTCTATTTAATTTAAAGGTTTTATTTTAAAAAAAGTGTATCTTGATGTTATAAATTTTTACTCCCTCTTCCATAACTTCATACTTTTATATCACATACTTTTAGAAAATTACTAAATGGTAAAAACTTGTAAAGAAATAGAGAAAAAATTACTCGCTTCATCTGAAAAAGACATTCTCAATTTGACTTTTCATATTTTTTAAAGAATACTTAAAAATTAGAATATATTAAATGATGTCACTGAAGTATCATAAATAAAAGAACGAGAATATTTGCAATATTTTAAATGTTAAAAATGTAATGGCAATATTTTTCCCAGACCTGGCATTTGCAAAGACCTTTCCCAAAAGACTAAACAGAGGGAGAACATTTTAATAACAGAAAAAATTGAGGTATAAAATTAAGTTTAAGTTGAAAAAAAGAACTTTGAAATGTTTATTCTTGAATAAATAGAGTCCATTTTTTGAATGATTAATTGTTAAAGTTAGCAAATTTTAACATCAAAAGTCAAAACTCAAAACAATGAAAACTTGTTTGTCACACATGGTCGCCAGAAAAGAGCCACGCTGCCGCGCATGAAGGAAAGAGTTACGCTTCTGTGCATGAAGGAGGTGGAAGTGCGAGAAAAACTTTAAATACAACTACAATCACATCAAACACATCAGAACTTATTCCAATCAGATCACTTGAAGAGAACAAGTCCTACATGTCCAAACACACATTGGATCAGTATAATAAAATCGACTATCTTGACACACTAACAATTAAACCACACAGGCAGTCTAAACTACCTAAAGATTAACAACAACAAAAATCAGTTTGGTACATTTCAAAAGCTTCAGACTATTGACTACTTACCCTTCGGTCTCTGCGGGGAATCCTAACCTAAAAAACAAAAGAGTAGGAAACTTACATAACAAACAAACCTGATGACACAACCCAATTTTAGAACTTGGAGGATCAGCAGATGTGATGTCCCGTTTTACGCCTATGTCTACTAAACTCTGAAACAAACCTGAAAGAGAGACCACATCCTTCAACCTTGCACTCGTTAAATTTCCTGCCAGATGTTTTCCCCTCTACGGGGTTTTTGGTATTATCACCGATTGTACATACTGATGTCTCTTTCTTAGCTGCCCTTGGTCGCAGGCCTTCGCATGGGCTTTTCACAAAAGTGGGGACAACAGGAGAATCCTTCGCGGGTAAGTTTGCATTTTGATCCTTTGTAGTCAACGCCTGAGGAATGAGATTTTCCGGTGTTTCAAAAGCATTGGTGGAGACTTCATGGGGAATGATAATATCACTTTCTACAGAGGCCATACTGATGACATCTGTAGAAGCCTGTGCTTTTAACTTGTATCTTTTTCTTGTATACTGGATTGTCGTATTTTCTACTCTTGCTGTTTGAATGTTGTCTACTTTAGATACTAAACCTTCCTCCTCACTGGTTTTTGAAGAAGTGTGTGGTTTGCTTTGTGCTTGGGAATTCAACTTTCTCTTTGAGCGAACTTTTCTGGATTCCCATTTGTAACCCAAACACTCTGTACTGAGGGCTTTGTCGGGGAACAGCCTGCTCAGAATCAGCGCATACTGTATCTTCTTGGCTGCTGGACTGTTGTTTCTGCACAACTTCACAGAGTGCAGTAAATTGATGTGTAGTGTTGACGTCCAGTCTTCAGCACATTCACTGTTTCCATCTTCAATTGCACGATCGATCAACTGGAGATGCTCCTTAGATGCCTTATTTAAGGGAATGTCGTTATAGACAAAAGCAGTGTCCGTTTCCTCTGCAATAAATGCAGCATAAGCCCTAATTTTCTGAAAGTCTGCATGAATAACCAGTTGCAGTCAATTTGTCAAACAGTTGTATTAAATGTGTCCCACATTTTTTTGGTTCATAGCTAATGATCCAACAGAGTTTTTTCAAATGGATATCTCACCTGAATGGCAGATAACAAGAACTTCTGCCCCACCTCTTGTACGCAGCAACTCTTCAGTTTGAATAGCATGTTCTATGCAAAGTATTCGCGGCCTTAGAAATTTAATACGGGCATCCCGTTCACCTTCAAAATTGACAGCTAGATTATGTGGAGATGGACCAACTGATGAGGGTTGATCCTTCATTTGGGATATACATGACTGTCCTGAATCGGCACAAGAAGACACTGTGAGAACAAAGGAGATATCTCTCATTTGGCATTGGCCTGTCTACTGTATACAAATTGTAAACATAGCAGAGCTGATGCAATTTCAATTCTTGTTTTTGATAGAGTGGAAAATGAGCAAATTAATTCAAATTATTAATAAGATGGAAGGTTTTTTTTAATAAGATGGAATTTGTATGAAACAGAAAGCCTAAACATAATTTATAATAAATTAAAAGTAGGCAAAGATTCAAATAGCAGCCAAGTAGAAATATTTCATCCCTAGGTGGGATACACAATGGAAAGATGCCAACAAGAGCCACTACCAAAATGAGTAAGCTAGATTTTGGATACAAAATACAAGATTGATGGATAGAATACTGAATACCTGCAACATTGTTCACTACTAGTGAATGGGAATGTGATTCTGTGACTTTTAGATCTCCTGTGCTTTGTTTCATTTGAAGGTTATCCGAGGAAAAGCTCTTTTCTGATTTCTCTGATGGTTGTACAACAGCCATAAAAGGAAAACCAAGGATTCCACAAGCTATACAAGGTAAGGCTCCAGTATCAACTTGAAATTCATTTGATAAATCGTCTTCCTCATAAAAATCACTCAAATTTTCCATATAAGATTTCATTTGGTTTAAAACGTCTTGACTGTTGTAGTTCTTGGTTTGAACACTAAATTTGTTTGTTTGATCAGAACCAACACACTGTTGCAATTCAAATCCTTTACTGGAAGATGGTAACATATCCACATCCCAAAACACTGCTTGGTAAGAGGAATTTTTCTGTAGTAAAATGGTTACTAACTTATTCTCTTTTAGAATATCTCCCACAAATGCTTTCTTCACCAAAGTCTCTCTTTCTTCCTTCTGACGATCTCTCAAGCGAGAGCTTCTCACTCCAGGTAGCAATGACTTAGGCACTCTGTCATTCCAAATATTTTGAAGAACATTGAGCAATCAAAAGCTAAATAAAATTCAAATTGCATGGGGCATTATAAGATTTGTATACAGTACCAACAAAATCACCAAGAATTATCCATGAACTGCAATCTGAGGCAGAATGGAACACTAAAGCCCATTTATTTTTCAAACCTTTTTGGATTACTTAAAGTAATATCAAACTAAATATATCAATGTTCCCATCCTTTTTACATGAGTAACTCCTTAACACACACTTACCCTTGCGTTTGTTTTATAAAAAGTGAAAACATTATAAAAGGGGCACAAAAGTCAATTTCTCACCTGCTGAATATGCAAGCAACAAAGGTAAAATACCATTTGGGCCCATGTGTAACAAGATACGCTGCACAACTAGAACTAAGCCTAGATAGTGTGCTGCAATTATCAGTTTCTAAATGGATGGAAACGGTGCATGAGGTTTTTAATACCTTGGAGTAAAACCGAGAGTAGATAAAACTATGGAAGCACTATAATATTAATATGGAAGGAAACAAAAACTAAATCCACTATCTAGAGGCAACACTTGAACTCATTATGTATGACTTGTCGTCATTTTGTATTTGATAAGCTTCTCCTTATACATGAAATTAAAAGCTTACAAGCTGACCTTGAAAAAAAAGACATTGTCAACAGATATAGCAACTGCTGATGAGAAAGCATGGGAAGATAATCCATGGCTGCTCGGCGAACTGCAGCATCTTTAGCTACTGTAAGCCACTGTGGAGTTCCGAAATTAGCTGCCTCCCCGCAATTAAAACCTGAAAAGAGAATATGAAGTATGAGAAAACTACAGAAAATTGTTAACACGATATTAAGATAATTAAGTTTCAGTAAAAGAGCATGATGACCCCTGCATCCCAAGCAAAAGGGGAAAGGTAACAGGCAGGAAAAGAAAGGATTAAACACGATACAAGGGGGTAAAATGAGTGAAAAGAACAAATGAGACTTGATACTTCTTAGTTCTTATCCATAAACGTCTCACCCCAGCTCAGCATTGCAAACAGCACAACAATATCTAGCTTGGTTTAGAACAAAATTTTCTTATATGGACTAATCATTAGAAATGTGAGCAAAATGGAGAAAACGATTGTATCTCTTCTAATTTGAACAATTAGAATAAGTTAAAATGACATAACATGGCCATAGAATAGAAACATTGTCTAAAAGTCATGCAATGTTATTACTACAAAATGAAGTAAATTAATAAATGGGTCGTAGAGAGATAGTATGTTAGGAACAAAATACTACTTAGTAAACAAAGTTGTTGAAAATACCAATTCCATCATTCCATATTATCCTTGGACTAAAAGCTCCTATCAATATGAAAGGAAATTAACAAACATTCTTCCAAGCTAACCATATTAAAAACAATAACAGCTTAAGCTAGAACTACATTACTATAGACTTTGAAAAAAAGTTGGCATTACAAAAGGATTCAGCATATCCAAAGACCAAAATCTAGCATGCTCATTTAGTCATTTAAAGGAGGTTAGAAGGAGAAGAATGGGTCAAGATTTGAAAGAAAAAAAATCCAATATGTGCACAAAGTAAAAGCAATTACCATGACTGAATCCCACATGGTATGCCCTTGGAAAAGTAATCACAAACTCACCAGGGTACTGTACTAACCTACATAAAAAGACCAATATAGATATCGAGATATTGACAGACAAGAGAATCAGATTGTCTCATCAAGAAATGCCAATTTTTGAAAAGATAACGAAATAAATTAAAAAGTTGGGCTATGCAATAGCTTCCCACCTGCAACAGGGGATGCCTGATGAAGCAATTATATCAGGTGATAGAAGAGTAGTTTTCTCACCCAATAGTGTCAGAGCAGCTGCAGATTACCAAGCATATTGATGAATACATAAACTAGCTTAAGAAAATTTAATTTATAAATCTGATAAGTATTTGAAAAGTTAGATGATGCCATTTGAACACTATCAAGTATCTTCATGGAAAATTCTTATCCAAATGAAAATTGTAATGAAGTACCAATATTTTAAACACAAACCATAACTGCAACATTTTAGTGTCTGGTGACGCAGTGATGCCATTTTTTTGGGTGGGGGGTGGGGTGGGGGGGGGTAGTCTGTTGAAGGTCACGCTTCTGGAAGTTTAAACTGAGCTCATTAAGATAATTCCCACATTTATGTGCTAGGTTATAGATTTAGATGTTACATCAAATAGATTCTTGCAATGACTAGAAACCTGAAAGTGGCTAAATTAGCAGAAAAAGAATTATAAAAAATATCAATTGCAGTCTTCAGAATCTATGAAGTTGGTAAAAAGAAAACACTTGCATACCTAACCGATCAGTACTATTTCCATAACCATGGACTCGGACAACTTCTTCAAATTTTGATGCATAGTCACCCGGCACTGCATACCAAGTTTTAGGGGATCCCATGTGAAGGAAATTCATGCTATGGAGCTCATGGTCTTCAACATGCCACGCAAACCAGCTGAACAACATACCAATATATACCATAGGAGATGTAACACCAGGAATATCATCTGCCATGTATCGGGTTAGTGATCCAGGTGACCTTGCTATCACTTGTAAATTCCAGGGGCTGTTTGATATCTTCCAGCCAGCACTGCCTTCCACATTGTTGCTGTCATGTAAATCATTTGTCCGTGAGACTGGTGTGTTCTGGCTTGGTTGGAAGGATGTTGAACAATCAGACGGCATGACTTTACATAAATTAGGACTCGAATGATATGACTCTTTATCAATACTATCACTATCAAGAAGACCTACTTCATTCTTGCTATCACAACTTCTTTTGTTGTTTCGATCAAACACTGCCCTCTTCCTCCTCCTCCTTGTTCTATACATATTACATACTCCCTCAGGTTCTCCAAAAGCCGAACCAGGCACATCATTAGCATACTCCACATAAACAGGTTCCTGATGAACTGCTTTCCAAAACATATCCTCAACAACTAATGGTGAAACGTCCTTAACCGGGCCTAATTGACTCTTAGAAAAAGTCTTAGATTTTGCTTCAAATTGTTCCAGTGTATAAACTTCTCCACTTTGCCACACCTGTTTCCGAGCTCCAAATGGCTGGCTCCCTGCCACCCCCTTCTTCTTCTGCTTCTTCTCACTCTGTCCCAATTCCTGGCGTCTGGTAGTAAACACAGCCCTAGACTCCCCACATTCACCTTTCCCCTTATCAGAACCAACCTTTACATCTGAACCCAGCTCTGGACACTTCGTGAGCGACTTATTCAGGTTATGGAGCACATACTTCTTTGAAGGCTTAGGAAACGGTGGAATCACTTTACATATACCAAAAGAGCTAGCTTCTCTCTCGATTTTAGAAATGTAAGCAATCGGGTCAGAAAATTCAGTATCTGTGGGGCGAAATTCAGGCGCCACAGGCAGCTCCTTGAGCCATTGGGCTATATCCACATTCTTCATCACCAACCAGGACCCAGGACCGTAACCAATGATCTCGATACAGTCAAGGAATCACTTTCATTCAAAAACGCATAATTGAATCAAAACGTAGTTTCAATAAGCTAAAACCCTAGATTCAGAAACGAAACCTTATTGAGGCCCTTCTTCCAGTAAACGCAAAACGATAAAAATGGAATTAAAAAACAGTTTATCAGTAGAACCTTTTGGTAGCTTCAAAGGAGAAGTCAAACCGGAATGCAGTAATTGGAGAATTGCGCAAATTAACGTGCTGGAAACTTATCCTGTGCAGGAGAGGATATCGCTACCTGGAGGGGGCGCGCCTCTACGGTTGACTTCGTAGATCGGTGCGTCGGTTGTACGGTCCGCGGCACTGCGTCCAGTTGGACTGTGTGTGGTTAAAGTTACATGAGATGGAGGATTCTCCTTTTTTTTACATTTTTTTTATTTGGAAAAACTTCACATAAATACTTCGAGATACAATAAATGAAATTATTCCTTCTAGAATTTTTAAATATATTTACATTACTGTTCATAAAATTTATAATTTTTAAATATGTTTATGGACCTGTTTGGAAATAGCTTTAGAAATTAGCGTTAGCGATTTGGATAAAATTTTAACGGTGCAGATTACTTTGAAAACGCTAACGCTAAACGCTGCCCGTAGATAACCATTTCAAAACGCTAAAGCTAATCGCTAACGTTGTTCCCAAACAGGCCCTATATCCCTAGTTAGTAATATATGGTAATATATAGAATTTTATAAAATATAGCTTATTATGCATATTCAACGTTCGACATACGGTTACGGATACATGCGCTTTTAAATGTTCTATTTTTAAGATACGTCTTATTATATGTGAATATATATTAACATATATACGTCAAATTTACACATATTTATTGAATGATAGTCATCAATTTATATTAAGGTTAATAAACAAAATGCATAAATCTTCTGAATTGAAAATTAGAATCTCTATTCATTTAAAATATTTATTTGAAAAAATATACTCCCTTCATTAGAAAAAACATCCATATTTGACTTTCACGTACATAGTTTTAGAAAGTGTTCAAAAATAAAAATTTTATAGTTTGAATTTGTTTTGGAAAAAAGAAGAGATGTGAGTCATTCATTCTTTTTTTTAAAAAAGTCAATAAAGTTTTTTAGACAAACACAAAAACAAAAAGTAAAATCTTTTTTAGAACTTGACAAACGAAGTGTAAACTTTTTTTTAGAATGTAGAGAGTATATATTTTCAAATTGATTAATTTAGTAATTAATATTTAGTATTAATTAAGTAAAAGCAACTTTATGGATCGGATCTCATGGTAAATATAATACTCCATATTAATATTGTGACGATAAATTAGTATTGTATATATAGCTCATATAAAATATTACTCATATTCTGTTCAAATGTTTGTTAGGACCAATTAATATTTATTGATGTACCAAAAAATTTATAATTAAATCTTTAATCAATACGTATTATGCGTAATTATACGTATAGTATCAAATATACGTGTATTTTAAAGTATTTTTGAAAATCATACGGATACGTGCATATAATACTCGTATTAATTAAGTATAATATGTGTATTACATGCGTATTAATAACTACGTTTATGTTTGTGCTCCGAATGTTAGGGGCACCGATGTAAATATATGTCAATGTGAGAGCATCGATGTAAACATATGAAAGTTTTTGAAGCATCAATGTAATTTATTATATGTGAGGGCATTTATGTTAAATCAATATGCAATTTTAGGAAAAATGATATGAACCTTTCCTTTTTATGTTACTAGTCTTCTTTGGTAACACTATAATGAACGCTTTCGATTAGTATTTTTGAATAAAATTTTAATAATGTAGATTAATTTTTAAATAACTATTGTTAAATATTATCATTAGATAGACTTTTCAAAATGTTAACGCTAATGCTAACATTGTTTCTCAACACACACTTAGTTTAAAAATGCTACAAAGCGAACTACTTGTTAAAATGTTACCTTTTTTCTGTATATAATGTCTTTTGAATAACGTGTAAAATGTTATCTTCGTTAAATTGATTTTATTAAAAATTAGTAAGAGAATAAAAAGAACAAGTTGCATGTTTAAAAACTATATGAACAATACTATAAGATAAGTAATGATAATAATATTTTGTTTTATCAAATTGACCATTAAAAAGCATAATAACCAAGGTTCGAAACCCAACGAAGGCGGAGATATTGACTCTTTGTGCATCATTAGATTGAGAAAAGTATGAACAAATACTATATTGTAATTGAGTCAATAGCTCTAAAGAAGAAGTTCAAATAGCAACTAGGCCAATTTTTAAGGAAAAAGTGTGTTATTTTTCATTTATCATTAATAAAAATATTATCTCTCTAAAAAACAAAACCAGTTTTCTTGTCTATGTCTAAAAAATGCAACTTTATTTTCATTTAAAAAAGAAACGGGTGATTTATCAACAAATTTCAATGTACTTTTAAAATTCCGTTAAAGTCACATTAGAAAGTGTAAAAAATGAAAAGTTTTCTTGTCCACTTTCATTTTTGCACACTATCCAATGCACTTCTTTAATCTATTTTATCTTGTAATTTGTATATTAAAAAATTATAAAAATTATATATTAATAATCTATATGTTAAGACGAATCAAACAAGATTACACATGACTATTTTTAGGCTTACACATTGAGAGAATTTGATGAGTCAAAGTGCTTAGATGAACAGTTCCAAAAGTCAAAAGTGGACAAACACTCAGGCGGACCAAGTATAATATTATAAATTTATTTAGAAGTATATCATTGTTTTTATCCAATAAGTAGGAGTTCGACAATGTGGCTGGTGGCAGTGTGATGACAATATAATAGTGCGATGGTTACGAAATGAGGGAGTGTGGTGGTGGACTATGGTCAACGGTGGCAACCACCGACAGAGCTATGGTGGTAGTGGGGCTTGGTAGTTTACAATGTAACAATAGATGTACGAACTCCAAATATGATACTTCAATTTTGATATTTTAATTTAGTCTTGTGAGTGAAAAAAATTACCAATAAACAAATTTCTTAAAAAACGATGAAAAGAGAAAAAATTATTCAGAATCGTTTCAAATTTATCCGGTCTTTCAAAAAAAAGTAATCTCAGTATTAGTTCTGACGCATATAATCCCACCATTAAAATGTGTGTGTTTTGGATCCTCGTTAAACTGCAAACGAATGATTAATAAAAATGACTTGTTTTGCGGAACAGAAAAAAAGTGAGACTATTTTTTATAAGTTTTTGTTTTTAATTTTATTTTTTTGAAATTTTTTATTAAATTTTTAAAATGGCATCATGCTTCCTTCATTCCTCTTTCTTTTATTAAAGATTAGCCTTATATATTAAGAAAAAACAGATATAAAAAATGATGAAAATGTAATCATAAGAAAATAAGAAATGAATTCCGGACTTCAAAGTAATTTCCTTTTAGTTATTTCTTAACAACAAAAACTAGTTGTTTTACTCCTATAGGGTTTTAACAATAAAATATTTTTTTTTCTTATTTTTTGTTTTTATTTTTATTTTTTGGGTACTAGATTAGGAAATACTCCATACATTAAGACTTGTATAGTGCCTAAAATGTTAGAACTCACCACTCCTTATATTTTAATTTCTTACGAGTTTGAGGTTTTTTGATTGATTACCTTTTTAATGCATTACGGAGTATTTTTTTTGTTTTAGTTGCGTTTCTCATTTTTCGTTATTTTTTTTGTCTTTTCACTTCTTTTTGAAATAATACTAATCCTTAAAAATATAAAAAATAATGGAGATAAAAAGTTATTTTAAAACTATAAGGAAAATTTTAATAAAATAACAAAATAAAAACAAAAAATTTATCAAAAACAATTTATCTCTCATTTTGTTGTGCAAAAAAACTGTTTCTGTTAACCATGCGTTGGCAGCATAATTGTTAGTCAAAGCATGCACATTTCGATAAAGGTGAGTTTATTATGTAATACAGTGAAAAGTAAGATTATTTTTGAAAGATCTGGTAAAAGTGAGATTATTCTCGAAAACTTTTTCAAGAGAAAATGATGCATCAAAGGAGTTCATTGTTGAATCAAAATTATTGTTATTCTATAATATTTTTGAGGAAAATGCTAAACAAAGAGTAAGACATGTAGAAAGTACAAAAATATAAGTTCTTTGTTTTTATGTTCAAAAAAGTCTTACAATGCCAATTATAAAAAAACAATGTGAAATACTAGTATATAGTGTGAAATTGTCATTATTCCTATTTCAGACATATTGTTTATGTCTTGGTCCTAGCAATGTAGATTTCATAATTTTTAATTTTGAAGTCAAATTTTTCATTAATTTTTAATGTTTTAAACGTTTATACGTTTTTTAGAATTCGAACAAATTTTAAGAATAAAATATATTAAAATATATCCAAGTCTATATAGAATTAAAATAGACTAAATCTACTCAATCCATGAATTATGAAAAATACTCCATATGACATACTCCCCTCATCTCAAAATTTTGTCTCATTTCGAACAACATACAAATTTTTATATTTCTTAAAACTATTTTGTTCACAAATGCAAATATGAATAAAAATGAAATTTCTATAGATAAAAGTAAAAAGTATGAAGATACCAAAACATGAAATCTAAATTTTTTAAGACCTGAATGATGGTGTTAATTGTTTAGACTGGTTTTATCATTTTTTCTGTGTCAAAATGATAAATGAGTTTAACAATCACCAAAAATATGATCAAGCTATTTTTGACATGGAAACCCAAATCGGGAGAAAACCACGCCTTTTCCGACGGTACCATGCCAACGAAGAGATTTTATTAATATCGCGGATAGTACATTGTACATAATTTTGGTATTATAGCCATTGACGGAGCTTTTTAGCTCTATAAAGAATAAATGATACAAGAAGTATTTTCTAAATAATGTGAGAGAATATAGTTACATAGTTAGGAGAAAATACGGAAATTGCCCCCCCCATACTGAAGGTGAAAGGTCAAGTGTGACCGGTCAACAAATTCAAAATAGTTGGCGGTCAGGCGCAAAGTGAAAGGTCAAGTGTGACCGGTCAAAAAATTAAGTGGTGTTCCAAGTGGCATAAAATGTTTTGGAAATGACCACTCACCTCTTCTTTGAAAAGTGACCGGTCATATTTGCGGCATGGTTATTTTCTTACAGGGCCGTTACTGGAGTCGGCTCAAGGGATTAACTCATCAGATTGGCACAGTTAGATTCTACGATCGAGTTTAACTGACGAACGCGATGCTAGGCGAGGCCACACGTAGAGACATCGTTGTACTACCCCGCCATCTTCAGGACTTAATGACGGAGCGAGAATCGCGCCAAACCGCTGGAAAACATAAATAAGGGCGAGATTGGTGCTCATTGACGATTAGGCCAGTGAGTAGCAGGTCAAGGGGCTATTTCCTTATGTAGATACGAATTGAAGCTAAGTCTATGCCGAGGAAGGGCTTGTTACCTTAATTGACTTCCTCCACCCAATATAAATATATTGTAAGAGGTGGAGGAGAGGCATTCATTCGTTCATATACATCTTTGTACATTTTTGAGTTAGAGTAAGAAATACAATTTCAGCCGCAGGAATTCCTTCATGGTCTAAGTCATCTTTTGTGTTCTTACTTTTTGGTGTGATTAACTTACTTGGTAGAGTCTGTTTTGACCTGGTCATACCCGGTCAAACTTATCCTGTTCAATTTACACCATCAAGATCAAAATAAAAGTATAATAGCAGTGTAATGTAAGAGTATGTGTTGACAGTGTGATGTAAAAGTGATGTCTATGTAATATGAAATTGTGATCAATCAATCACCAGCAATCAGCGGCGGCACTCTTGTGGCTGATGGTGATGAATGATAGTGTGACTATAATAATGTTGTAGTTGTAGTGTGAGAATGATGGGAGCGTCACAATGTAACCATGACAGTGTGCACTTCTATTTTGGTATTAAAAGACTCAAAATTCTTATTTTGGTATTTCCATAGTCTTTACTCTTACTCAGTGTGTTCTCCCTTAAAATTTTAAATTTTATATTTTAAAATTAGAGTAAATTCCATAATCGGTCCTTTATAACAGGGGGTTTCCATATTTAGTCCTTTATTATAGAATATTACCCATGTAGTCCTTTTTTTAAGGTGCCTTTCCACAAATGGTCCTTTTTTGATCTTCTGTCATGTTGGTGTTAATTTAAAGGCTAAAGTATAATTTGACATCAACATTATGTCTAGTGACGTGTTCTGATATTGGTTAAGCGGATAACACAAAAATAATGACTATGATTATGGGCTAAGATTTTGACGAAAGACCACATTTGTAGACTAAGGTTGTACTTGAAAGCGACTGTATGGTAATTCACAAACGACGCAAACGGAACAACCTTTGAAATTGTGAATGACAAAAAAGATATATTATCATTGTGAAATTACACTTTTAGCCCTTAAATTAACATCAACATGATAGAAGATCAAAAAAGGACTATTTGTGGAAAGATACTAGACCTGTGCAAACAAGGGTCGGCCCGTCCGGCCCGCCCAACCCGCCCTTTAAAATGGGCGGATATGGACAATCTTTAATACCCACATGGGCGGGCCGGCCCAAGCCCGAATTGTATTTGGGCGGATATGGAAATTACTTTTAGCCCATCCGGGCCAATAGGCCCGCCCATATTCATTAGTATATTTAATTCATTACTACGTATTAATTATCTAGACATTATAAATTTTAAAATTTTCTTTAACTCATGTATAATAGTTCATATCACTCACCCTTCTTAAACAAAGATCAATAGTGTTTTGATGAATCTGTATTATGGGTGTATTAATTATGTAACAATATTTTTATTATATTTTCTATGTAAATGTGGCGAGTGGTAATTTTATTTTAAACATTTGAAAAGGAGTTCAATATTTTCTTTTTGATTTTTTTTGTGTAAAAAAAATGTACTTGATGTTTTATCCGGGCCGGGCGGCCCGGTGGGCAGTTCAGCCCGCTAAAGTGGGCGGGTATGGGTAAAGAGTTTAGCCCATCAAATCCGGGCCGGGCCAAGCCCGCCCATTCAAATGGGCTAATAATTTGTATCAAGCCCGGCCCAGATCCGGCCCGGATCCTTATTTGCACAAGTCTAAAAGATACCCATAAAAGAAGGACCATTGGGGTAATATTTAATAATAGAGGACTACGGCCCCATTCCGTTCAACTTATTTTTTCTGCTTTTTTCTTAATCTTATTAAAATCAGATCAGATCAGAACCAATCAGATCAGATCAGATCAGATCAAAACCAATCAGATCAGATCAGATCCAATCAGATCAGATCGAATCAGATCTAATCAGATCTAATCAGATCAGATCAGATCCATTCAGATCAGATCAGACCAGATCAGATCCAAATAAGAATTATTATTATTATTATTATTATTGTTATTATTATTATTATTATTATTATTACTACTACTACTACTACTACTATTATTATTATCATTATCAATATCTTTATTACTCCTTACTTTTTAAATTCTATATTTTTTAGTTGTTTCACTTGATACAGTTCTTTTGAAAAATAAATTTAATTCTATTTAAAAAATAGAAGAAGAAAGAACATGAAACTTTTTGTGTGATTATAATTTATGTAGACTAAAATAAATGATATGAAGCACAATTGTTTTCNAATTATTAATGAAAAATGTATTATTTCTTTGCTTAACATTGATAATATAAGGATGTGATCTTTTAATAAAAATATTAATGATTATTAATAACATTGATTATCTATATTAAATAACATTTTAGTGCATATATAAATTAAATAATTATTCTAATGTTTATATAAACTAATTATTAAAATATTAAATCAATATTATTCATTAAAAAAATCATAAAATAAAAAATATTATTACATTATAATATGAATGATTATTCTAATATATGAGTTAATTAATTTTGTTTCACTGAAAAATAATCATAGAAAAATATTGATTATATTATAATATGAATTATCATTACAATTTTCAATCAAATCAGAACCAATCAGATCAGAACCAATCAGATCAGATCATATCAGATCCAATCAGATAAGATCAGATCAGATCTAATCAGATCAGATCAGATCCAATCAGATCAGATCAGAACTTATTAAAATCAGATCAGATCAGAAAAATAAGTTGAACGGAACGAAGCCTAAATAGGGAGACCCCCATGTTATAAAGGACCAATTATGAAATTTACTCTAAAAATTACATCTAAAGTTCTAGAAATAAGACGTGACAAAAATAATTTATTTTATCAAATCATCAATGATATCATTCAAACAAGCAAAAATTAGCGGACAGTCAAAATAGCAACTGTGACAATGTTTATAAGACGAAGGGAGTATTTTTCTGAATTAAATTTTATAATCAAGATAGTTTATGTGACATTAATCACTAATGTCATATGATGACCCGTGACTCTAAGAGTACTCTGTTAAAAAAATTTATAGTTCAAACATCTTGCACCTCTAACCCTCCCATTGGCCCCCTCCCTTTGTTGATGGGCTACAATTACCGTAGGAACAATCAATTTTTAAGTAATTGTTGCACAAGCCTTGGGCCATTCTATAATTCTAGATTTACAAGATTTACTTAATTTTTAGGAGAATTTATCGAGAATAATCCCTGTTTTATTCGGTCTCTTAAAAATAATCACATCTTCCACTATGATACATAATAATCCCAACTTTACTGAAATTTACGAATTTTGGGTCACTGTTAAGTTACTAACGGCGAGTTAAAGAAAAAAGCCTGTTTTGCGCAACAAAATAAAAGTTGAGATTATTTTCGATGAAATTTCATTTTTTTTAATTTTTTTTAGTTTTTACTTTAAATTTTTAAAATTTCTTTCTACCTCCATCATTTCTACTTTTTTAAAGACTAGTCTAACTTTGGATTAAAATAAAAAAATAGATATAAAAAATAATGAAAATGAGAAACATAACTAGAATCATAAAGAATTAGTAATAAAACAATCAATAGAAATTATCTTGAAACTGGTAAGAAATAAAATAAAAATATATGAAGTGATGAGTTTTAACATTTTACACACTATACAGAACATTAATGTACTATTTCTCCTTATTTTTTTTAGGAAATATTATCTAGAATAATCCTATCTTTACCTGTTCTTTCAAAAAATAAATAGTACATTGATACTTTGTATAGTGCGTAAATGTTAGAGCACTCCACTCTTTATATTGTTTTTCATATTCAGTTTAATTTTTATAGATTACCTTATTTATTTCATTAATTTTGTATAGTTTTAGTTATTTTTTTCATTTTTGGTATTTTTATTTTTATAAGATAAGACTAATCTTTAAAAAAAGGAAAAACTAATTGAAGTGGAAAGTCATTTTAATTTTTTCAATAAAAATTTTTTTAAAAAATAAAAATTAATAAAAAATAATTCCAACTTTCATTTCGTTGCGTAAAATAGGATGTTCCGTTAATTCACCGTTAACAACTTAACAGCGGTCCAAAACTCGCAAATTTCAATAAAGTTGAGATTATTATACATTACATTGAAATATGAGATTATTTTTGAAATACAAGTAAAGTTGAGATCAATTTTTGATAATTTTTTCTAGTTTTTATTTGGCTTGACTATTAGTATAGAAAATTCATTGCTCAAGATTAACGAGGAAGTGGCTGAGTGTATGTATTGAACAGTTGAAGCTCTCTCAACCGCTCTCCCGAAAAATAACAGTTTCCATATTGCAAACGGGAGGAGGGGAGAAGAGAGTGGAGAAAACAATCAATCAATCAATCCTCCCCATTATCTTCATCTTCTTCATTAAAAGCCCAAAATCCGAAACCTGGAGGAATTGGAATGCACATGTTTTCAGAAACCTAAGAAATCCCCCTGCCACTCTGCAGCGCTCTGATTCTCTGATTCCCTCTTTTGGGATCAGAGAATCGTCGCCCCTTCTCGTCTTCCTTTTTTTTAATATTTAATGATGAGCTTATAGAGGAGGAGGAGGAAGAAGAGGAGGTGGGTCTTTTTTTGTTTTCTTTTGTTTTAAAAAAGACTTTTTTTTTAATAAAGAAAAACAATTCAAGAATTTTCTTTTTCTTGATTTGGATTGGGAAGAAATGGTTGTGCCTCATGATGATGGAAACATGGAGGGTTGGCTTTACCTCATCCGATTGAACAGGCTTGGCCTCCAGTATTGTCGAAAACGGTACTTCGTTCTTGAAGATAACTGCCTCAAGAGCTTCAAATCAATCCCCATTACCGGAAGAGAGGTTATGTGTTCATTTAATCTCTACATTTACAATTCCAAACCCACCCATAAGATTTATCTTGCCTTTTAAAGTCATGTATGGTTTGAGTATAAAAAAACATTTCTTGTATTTGCTTCTAGTCGAGTTGGTTCATTCGTATGGTATCAAATAAAGCTCAAATCAATTGTTTGATCTTGGTTGTGGGGTCATGTTAAGCCCTTTCCACCCCGGAGAAAAATGTTAAGTTTCGGGCCATTCATCCCATAAAGTTTGTGTTTTTGGATAGAATTCCAATTCTTAATATTAGTTCAATGCTTTGCAGGCTCATGTTGTTTTAAATGCAAAATGTGAAACTTTAAGCCATATGGGCTTCCACGTTAAAGAGCGTGTTAGAGTATAAACCTATCTTGGGATTCTCACCATCGAAATCACCTTTTGGTTCAATTATTTCTTTGACACCTATATTTGTGGGGCAAAAACATAGGGATGGAGTTCTGTTGCTTTTCTCTCTTTTTTTTATAGCAATTGTTTAAAACTGTATGAATGCTATAGTTTGAAGTCTAGCTAGTTTTCCTTGTGCATGCAAAATGGGTAATTCCATTTCCTATCTTATGCCTTTAAAATGATAGTGGTCATATTTTGCATTTCCTTGAAGCATAAAATTTTCAGGATGGGAAGATGGGATTTTTTATTATTCCAACTTAAAACTAGAATGTTAGTATGGAGAATCCTATATGGCAAGAAGCCTTTCTTGAATGTTTCTAACCCAATAAATTGGTCAATACACTAACAGGAACCACTGAGAAGTGCAATAATAGACTCCTGCATTCATGTTAAAGACCATGGAAGAGAGAGCTGCAACAGAAAAGTGTGTGACTTTACATAAATAACATATCTCGTCAAAGATCAAACCATATAAAATAACAATCCTTCTAATATTCTTGCTTCAACTTATCCAGGTTTTCTTCATTTTCACCTTGTATAACACCTCTAACCATAATGATATACTCAAGGTATGTGCCTTCTTCTATAACGAATGAACACTTTCACAATACGAAAGTGGAAAAACAGAGATTTCATGTTTCATAGATTGGAGCTACTAGTCCAGAAGATGCTGCTAGATGGATCCGTTGTTTAAAAGATGCTGCATTGAATCCTGAAAAAAATTTAAGGGCACCCGCGATAAGAAAATGGCAACCTTTCAGGTAATAAATCATTTCTTTGGTTCATATTTCTTGCAAGGAGTGATCCTTCGCTAAAACAGTCATTTACAATTATGGCATTTATTATTTTAAACCTGATTTCTGTCACCATGTAACAAGATTGAGCGTGTCAAAGAGGATGGCAAAAAAGAAGTCCATAGATTGGACCGAAGCATCTTCTTCACATGTAGATGCAATGACTTCTGATGTTATTGGCCCTTCACCGTGGAAGATATTTGGATGCCAAAATGGTATGAAACACGTTCGAAATTCATCATATTCAGTAAAAAAAAGTGAAAACCCAAACAAGAAAATAATGAATTAGTATATAATGCTTATCCCAATGTTGTTTTGGTTATTCAGGCTTGCGACTATTCAAAGAGGCAAAAGACAGAGATTCTAATGGGAAGGTTTGTTGATGTATTTGACATTCCATTCCCTATTGTCAGATTTCCTCCTCGTAGCTAATCAAATGTGTTGTGTTCAGCACTGGGATAGTCATCCGGCAATAATGGCAGTAGGTGTAATTGATGGAACTTCGGAAGCCATTTTCAAATCACTCATGACTCTCGGCCCATCTAGATCAGAGTAAGACCTTCCTGCTTTCCTTTTTTTAGTTGTCTAAAAAGTTCTCATTTCATTTAGGGAAAAAAAACAATGGTTCACGTTCTTTCTCTCCTCTGCATAAACTTCCACCATACAATTTCATTTTTTTCTTAAACTTCGTGAAAAAGCAAACAAGAACTTCTTTTAGGGACGGATGGATTATATATTTATCAATGATTCATTAGATAGAGTTTAAGACATGGATTGGTTTTTGCAGATGGGACTTCTGCTTCTATAGGGGCAGTGTGGTTGAGCATCTTGACGGACACACCGATATTATCCACATGCAACTATACAACCATTGGCTTCCATGGTTAAAACTTCTTAAAATGACACAAACAGATAAACTTAAGATTTGGTCTTTAGCTTCAATGACTTTTATTTATCTGCAGGGGGATTAAACGAAGAGATCTGCTGCTGCGGCGTTATTGGAGAAGAGAGGATGATGGAACATACGGTAATATTCACATCTAAGAAAAGTAAATTTCACGGAATTAAAGAAAAAATGAAATTTGTTGTTGAGATTTCTGAAGATGAAAGAGAAATAATGTGAACCACTCGATACTATAAAAGGAATGAGAAGTTTATTTGGGACAAACAAAAAGGGAAAGTGAGAACTTTATTTTTGGATGGAGGGAGTATAAGATTGGTTTAACTAAACTGTTGTTCTTAAAATACTGATTGCTCTCGGATGTTTGATGCAGTAATTCTTTATCACTCTGTCGTCCACAATAAATGCCCGCCACAAGAAGGATATGTTCGCGCCACCGTTAAAAGTAACGTATGCTTTAACATGTGTTTATGTCATCTTAATAATTAATGTCTATTTTTATAAAAGTAACAACTTTTATTCCCTTTGGGGGGGTTATTCAAAATTATTCAGGTGGTGGACACGTTATAGTTCCTGTAAACCAAGGCAAATCAAGCATTGTCAAACACATGCTCTCTGTTGATTGGAAGTTCTGGAAGTCATATCTTAGGAAAGAAACGTCTAGATCCATAACCATTTGCATGCTTGGGAGAATTGCAGGTATTTTTCTGTTGATCAAGATGAAACACAATTTCTAATTTCAAGTGGACCCTTTTTTTTCCTTCACTTAAAGTCTTTGTTAAGAGTGTCATGGTGAAATACCAATGAGTAATGAATGACACACATGAGTTATGGATTTAATCTTTTTGCATGATTTGGCCTATATGGTACGGTATGCATTGCGATTCGTGGTCATACTGACCTGATTCTATCACATTACATGAATCCCAGCACTGAGAGAGATGTTTAAAGCTAATTCTGGAAGCTACTTCCACAATGTTTCATCAGGAGAGCGAACAATAGATATCCAGTTACCTCTTAGTGAAAAAGAGGAGATAAAAAATGAAGTTTCTCAAGAAAGGATTGAAGTGGATATAGAGAAACATCCTTCGGGTCGGTCAAGTCTAGTCGGGTTGAATGATGTGACGGATGAGTTTTTTGATGTTCCCGAACCGTCTGATGATGAACAGTCAGATCACGGATGGTCTTCCGGTTCAAGTCCAGACTATCATGCGGTACTCAGCTTCTCTGCTGCTATCTATACCTCTTTTTAGTTTCATGGCTGATTATCTTCTAATGCTACCCTTTATGTACTATTAAACTCCCAGGACACATATCCACAGAAAATATCATCTGCTGCAAATTTTGTCAAAAAATTGCAGGATCTAGCAGGTTTGTGAGTGACCATAGATGTAAATAGGTTCCCTTGTCTGTCATGGATTCCATGAATGGTTTAATTCCAAACACAAACTGTTCAAAAAATTTCAGTCCAGAAGAAAGGGTATGTTGACTTACAAGAAATGGTCTTGGAAGATGAAGCCACATGCTGTTACGGTTCCACTCTTCCCAAAGATGCCAGTTATAGTCTGACCTGCAGTTGGGCAGCTGCTGACACATCATCGTTCTTAATCCGAGGAGAGAAGTACATGGAAGACCATCAAAAGGTGGTTCTCTCTTCCTCTTGTCTTTTGTAGCATGCCCCTATGGTATTTTATTTTTAAGTATACTGTTTTGTTTTCAGATCACAGCAAAAGGAACATTGGCACAAATGGTTGGTGCAGATTGGCTACAATCTGACATTCGCGAGGATGATCTTGCTGGTCGCCCTGGAAGCATCGTGCAGGTCAAGTATTGCTCCTTAATCCTTCCAGGTTTATGTTTTAAAAGACCAACACTGTACTTTTCTAACACAAGTTCTGTATGGTCAATAGAAATATGCAGCCCGGGATAGACCAGAATTCTTTTTCGTGATCAACATTCAGGTAAACTTGTCTGTTTTTATCACAACTCTTGGGGTCCTTTTGGATCACGTAAAATAGTAAAGAAAGGATAATAAAATAAATGCTTAAAGACAATTAATTTATCATAGATATAATAAGACTAAGCAGAAAAGATTGAATTTTTAGTAGTATATGCTGACGATGGAAGTTTGGTTGGGGAAAAAAAGATTCCAGGAGCAACAAGACACAACCTTGCTCTATATTATATGTTGAAAACTCCTTTAGATGAGAACCCTTTACTCGAGCGCTTTGTCAATGGAGATGATGCTTTCAGAAATTCAAGATTCAAACTCATTCCATACATCTCCAAGGTCAGCCAGCATTTTCAGCACATATATGCAGTAAAAATCTTCTTTTTTTTCACCCAGATGCTATCCACTTTTTCACATTCGTCTAATTCTCTGTCCGATAGGGATCATGGATAGTGAAACAAAGTGTGGGTAAGAAGTCGTGTTTGATTGGTCAAGCTCTTGACGTGCATCATTTCCGTGGCAAGAACTACTTGGAGGTAGCTAGACTCGATTCATCTGATGCTTTAGCCCAGTTCTTGAAAAAAGATATCGTTTTTGAGCATTTGATTAATGACGATTCGTCTTAGATTATTATTATACCATCGAATCTTTGTTGGATTAACCGATGAATCATCTGAAGAATTTTCTTGGTCTTCCATCAGCTTGATGTTGACGTTGGGTCATCCACGGTTGCAAGGGGAGTTGTCAATCTTGTTCTAGGCTATTTGAACAACCTTGTAATAGAAATGGCATTCCTTGTACAGGTAAAACACAAATCCCAGATTATTGTGATCATCATTTCCATTAAGAAACTGAAATGAACATCAAATTGCAGGCAGACGCAGCAGAAGATCTTCCAGAACAGCTTCTTGGGACGTGTCGGCTTAACCATTTAGACGCGTCCAAAGCTATTCTTACCCACAACATTAGTTGCTAATATAAGGACTAACAAATGGAGTATGTAAGTGCCACAGAAGAGTGTGTAAAAAGTGTAATTAGTTTGGTAATTACATGTTTTGGAAGTTGATTTGATTTAATTAATTTTGTTTAAATTTTCTCTTCAAATTGTTTTTTGGAGGTACACATTATTGTTACTTCTGGAAAAGTTGGTGAGGGATAAGTTGTCCATTGTGTAAATTCTCAAAGCTGGCCTAGTTTAATGGTTTCATTCTTCATTGTAAAAAAAACATGTATACAAAAGCCTGCCCCCTTGTGGAATTGTGATGGGGATATTAATTAGTAACTTGATTGTGTCATCCACTAGGGTTATCTTGCTTTATTATGTGTTTATTTTTAGGAAAATATTACCTAAAATAATTCCAACTTTACCCGGTCTTTCAAAAATAATTCCACCTTTGACTGTGATGCATAATAATCCCAACTTTATTGAAATTTGCCAGTTTTGGGTCGCCGTTAAGTTTCTAACGGAGGGTTAACGGAAATGCCCATTTTAGGCAACAAAATGAAAGTTGGGATTATTTTTGATGAATTTTTGTTTTTTAATTTTTTTGAAATTTTTATTTAAATTTTTTGAATTACTTTCAACCTCCGTTTCTTTTTCTTTTTTAAACATTATTCTTACCTTAGAAAAAAATAGATATAAAAAATAATGAAAATGAGAAAAATAACTAAAACAATACAAAATTAATCAAATAAATAATGTAATCAATAGAAATTAAACAGAAACTGGTAAGAAATAAAATAAATATATACGGAGTGGTGGATTTTAACATTTTACACACTATACGGAGTTTTAATGTACAACTTATTTTTTAAAAGAACAAGCCGTCCGGTAAAGTTGGAAGTATTGTAGATAATTTTTTCTAAAATAAGAAGTGATATGTTAATACTTTGTATAATGTATAAAATATTAAAACCCACCCGTATATTTTTATTTTACTTTTACCAATTTCAAGTTAGTTTCCATTGATTATCTTATTTATTTTATTATTTTTGTATCACTCTAGTTACATTTTTCATTTTTTATATCTATTATTTTTATTTTTTAAACTAAGACTAATCTTTAAAAAAGGAAAAAGAAATGATGATGGAGGTAGAAAGTAATTTAAAAAATTTAAATGAAAAATTTAAAAAAAATAAAGAAAATGAAAATTCATAAAAAATAATCCCAACTTTCATTTTGTTGCCTAAATCGGGCATTTTCGTTAACCCTCCGTTAGAAACTTAACGGCGACCCAAAACTGGCAAATTTCAGTAAAGTTGGGATTATTATCCATCACAGTGAAAGGTGGGATTATTTTTGAAAGACCGGGTAAAGTTGGGATTATTTTGAGTAATTTTTCCTTATTTTTAATGATACAAATATTAATACTCCCTATGATTATTGTTATCAAAATAATACAATAATATTATTGTTAAATATATTATTGTATATTTAATATATTTATATATTGTAGTTTCCTTTGTATAGGATTTCCTTGTTCGTATTCTACCATAGTTAGGAGACCGATAACTTTGTATATATACGGGGCTTGACTCCACAAGATCAACATAGAAAACAATTATTCTTCATGGTATCAGAGCCTCTTTCCTAAACCCTAAAATTTTTTTCTCCTTCGTGCGCAGCTCTCCGTCGCACCAAACCCTAGCGCCGCCTGCCTTCTCCAGCGCCGGCGTCTCTCTCGTCTCCCAGACGTCTCCCAGCGGCGCCACCACCAGTCATCTCTCCAGTCTCTCATCTCTCCAGTCTCTGCAGCGGCGTTCTTCTCCAAAGCACCAGCCGCCATCATGTCCGAGAAGGCAGCCACCCTCGACAAGCCCACCTCCTCCGTCTCTACTCCTCACTTGGCATTCACCACCATCTCCAATGTGAAGCTTCACGTTCCAATCATGTTGAGCTTTATGGAACCGAACTACAAAAAGTGGAGCCGACTTTTTCTCCTATTGGTTCGTCGCTTCTCCCTTGGGGACTTCCTCACCGGGAAATCAGTCCCGTCTAGTGCCGACGACACCGATTGGCACCAACTTGATGCACTTCTCCAAGGGTGGATCCTTTACGATCAACGACGAAGTCTCCGATCTCGTGATCTCCTCCACCAACTCGGCCGCGGAACTTTGGCAATCCATTCACTCTCTTTTCCATGACAACAAACCCGCCCGAGCCATGCAGTTGGAACATCAATTCCGGACGACGAGGAAAGGCTCTCTGTCCATCTCGGTCTATTGTCAAACCCTCAAGAATATCGCCAATTGGTTGGACGACGTAGATGCCCCCGTCTCGGAACAACAACTGGTGTTACAAGTCCTTCGGGGGCTGCCGGATGACATGCGGGGTCAGACGTCCTTCTTGCAGTTTCAAACACCGCCTCCGACGTTCCTTCAGACCCGATCAGCCCTCCTCCTCTTGGAGCGTCAAAAATCAGAATTGGAGGACGACTCCTCCACTGGCACGCCTCTTCTCTCGTCCGGCAGCCCTGGCGCCCCCTATCACAGCCTCGCTGGCGGAGGCCGCGGGCATCACAGCAGCAGCAGCAGCGGCCAGGGACAGCAGCACCATAGCGGCGGCGGTGGCCGTGGCGGTCACCGCAACCGCGGTCGAGGTCGAAGCTCCGGATCGAATCCCCGCTCCACCCACGGACAGCCCTGGCAGACACCGAACCCCAGCCCCTATCCCGGCCTTCTCGGCCCCAGGCCCACCTACTCCACCCACCCCCCACCCCAGGCCTATTTTACCCAAAACTCAAGCCCCTACCCAC